GCCCCCCCCCGAAAAGCCCTGCAACTTTTTGTCTTGTCCCCGAAGGGAGGTTCCCCGCTGCGATTTAATTTTTTGTTCTGTTTGTTTCTCGGCTTTCTTTTCCTCAGTGGCCGGTCTCAATAGAAGGGAGGGGAAGCGCGCGTTTTTGTTTTTCTTCCAGCAAAGTAATTTTAAAGTTAATCTTAAAGTGGTTGTTGAAATAAAAGCTTTCCAAAGTGACTAAATTAGATTAAAATGGGATTTCTTTTTAAAATTGGAGCTCCCGCAGGAGGGAGGTGGGATTTAAGCAAGAGTCCTGCCCTGTAAGTGTTCAGGAAGGTGAACAGTCCCCCGTTTCCATCCTTTTGGTTTCTGCCTCCGTTTTCCTCTCTTCCCTTTACTTGTTGGCTCTGCTGCTGCTGTCCTCTCTCTTGCACCTCCAAGACGGAGGCTCTGCCCATCTCTGTCTTACCAGCTAATCTTTCTTGTTCCTTTTTTGCAGTCTTTTAGGTTTTAACGGTTCTCACGCACGTCTCAGATTGCTGAGGACAAGAAATCTGTGATGGACTCATTTGGTTTTGCCTGGGTCTGGAGGCAGGAGTTCTGTGCGGAAGATGGGCAGGTAGCGAGACCCTTCTCGGCCTTTTTGGGGGTGGCGCTTGTCGCTTCAGGGGGCTGAAGCCTTGCCTGAGGGAGGGAGGGCAGGGCAGGGCCTGTGGGGCAAACCCACCTTGCCCTCCTCCCGAATCCAGGTTGGAGGCATCGGGCTCTGTTCCTCCTTCACCTCCTGAAAGAAAAGGTTAGGAGGAGGAGGGGCTTTCGGTGGGCTGGCTTCACTCACGAGGTTTGAAGTTGCTGACTGGGAATGAAACCAGATCCCCAAGTAATCTCTCTCTCTCTTTATCACCGTGGGACCAAGAGGCGTCTTCTCTGAAACTGGTGTATGCAGATAGCAAGTCTTGTTGTCTTCAAAAGGAAGGGTGTGTGTGTGCGCGCGCGTGTTTGTGTGGAAGGAAGGAACTTCCACCCACCATCCCCTTCCAAGGCATGCAGATAAATTTGCATCAGCTTCCCACTGAAGCATTCCCTGTTTTGACTCTGCTGCTTTGTTTTTTAAAAGAGCTTCTCTCCCCTCCCTTTGGTTTTCTTCCCTAAGTCTTTTTCCGAAAAACAAACCTGGAATTCCCTTAATAGCTCCCCCCACCCTTTTAATCAACAGGAACCTGGCATTTTTTAAAAAAACAGTTCATTTCGGCCAGAGTGTAAGTGTGTTCATCACTTGTGTGCACCATAAGATGTACAGTTTTGATATACTGAGTGGATTTCAGAATCCCTGGATTTATGAAGACTACCCCCCTCTTTTTTTTTAATTTTAAAACCTGGGCAATTCTTACGTTGCTGACTTAAAAAAAAAAAAAAAAGCTATTTTCTCTTTGTTTCTCCTTGTGTGCACTCAGCTTCCCCTAGCCAACATTTTGGTTTTGGTTTTGGTTTTGCTGAGTCAAGCATCTGGACTTGAGCCCATTAACAGACTGGTTTTCCATAGCAGTGGGGGATCTGTTATTTATATGTGAACGTTTTTGGGTTTGTAGTATGAAGCAGTTTGATTTTTGAGTTCTGTCCCAAGCTAATTTTACCTGTGTATTGTTTGCTGAACGAGTGCATAATATCCATCCCGCAGATCCATCAGTCTGGAGGTCCTGGGGTAGGGGCCTTGATAACTGGCTTAATTTATGTCTGCCCCTTAGTTTTGCCTCGTCTTCAGATACCCAGGATTCTTGTCCCAGAAAGACACCTGTTTTCTCATGCAGCGCAAGAAACCCAGCGGCGTGGCTTGTCTGTACAGCTCTCCTTTACTGCATGACTTCTACACTCCTGATACAAGCTTTGTCTTTAG